CACAAAGTGCCCCAATCCATCAATTTTAGGCTTTTTTCTTGGTAGAATTTTCATCAGCTCTTTTTTCTAGCTCTTTTTTTCATCGTTTTTGCCTTTTCCCCTCAACGGGTCGATTCTTTCCCCTTCTCAGCCCTAGTTAGGAAAAGGGCCTTTTCTCATTTTCCTCTCTTCCCCTTTCTCTCTTCCTCTCTTCCTCTTCATCTTCCTCTTCCCCTCTTCCCCTTTCTCCCTCTTCCTTTTCCCTCCTCCTTCCCCCTTTTCTCCCATATCACGTCATCAAGCGCATTCACGTTTTTTCCCATTCTAAAAAGGAATTTCGCTCTTTTTCAATTTCATTCATCAAACGAAAATAAGAAATCAAGATGTTCACTATTCATCATCACTATTCAATATCATCCAATGGGTCGATCACTGCCAAACTAGCATAGAAGTTTTGAGCCTCTTCTTTTTAGCCTCTTCTTTTAGTCGATTTTTTTATTATTCTAGGGTGAACCTCTATATCACTTTTGACGCAGAGACCTTTTTTGAAGAGCGCGGAAAGGGGCATAACTTGTAAAAACTAGAAGACCTCTTTTAAAATGATTATCTTTCAGAAACTATTGATACAAGGCTGTTGTAAACTCTTGTGAACTCTTGTGAACGCTTGTAGACTCTTGTAGACTCTTGTAAACTCCTGTAAACTCTAGTGAACTCTAGTGAACTCTAGTAAACTCCTGTAAACTCCTGTAGACTCTAGTGAACTCTAGTGAACTCTAGTGAACTCTAGTGAACTCTAGTGAACTCTAGTAAACTCCTGTAAACTCTTGTGAACGCTTGTAGACTCTTGTAGACTCTTCTAGACTCTTGTAGACTCTTGTAGACTCCTGTAAACTCTAGTGAACTCTAGTGAACTCTAGTGAACTCTAGTAAACTCCTGTAAACTCTAGTGAACTCTTGTAAACGCTTGTAAGCCCTTGTAAATACCCAATCACTTCACAATGCTCCCATTTTCTCAACTTTACTGTATCTGCTCATGTTTGTAAACGCATTCTAATCAAAACCAAAGCATTTCTTTAGTCATTTCATTCCTTAAGATTCTTTTTTCTTTTTTTTATTCCTTCTTTCAGTCATTCGAATCGAAGTTGGTTTTTTAATGTGGACTTTGTGCCTAACCAATTCTATCTAATTCAATTCTTTAATGTGGACTTTGTGCTTAACCAATCTTTTCTATGGAATTCTATGGAAATCCATCGATTCTATCGATTTAATTCCATCTATTCTATCGATTTAATTCTATATAATTCTATAGAATTCTATTTAATTCTATTTAATTCTATATAATTCTATTTAATTCAATTCTTTCCAATTCTTTCCAATTCTTTCCAATTCTTTCCAATTCTTTTCAATTCTTTCGTCTTCCACGCGATTATTGCTGAAGAAATGAGGAATTCAGTGCGCTAAACATGGTGTATTTATAGTTGGGTTTAGCACAAAGTAGCTTCAACACAAAGTACACCAGATCAACCATCGCCAGCTTGTTTGTTGTTCTTGTTGTTCGCCAGCTTTGTTCAACTTTGTTGTTCGTTCAATTGTTCGATTCTCTTTCATTTGCTTAATCTTTGTCTTTGTTCTTTGTCTTTTTTCAATCTTTATTCAATCTTTGTTCAACCTTTGCTCAACCTTTATTCAACCCTTGCTCAACCTTTGTTCAACCTTTGTTCAACCTTTGTTCAACCTTTGTTCAACCTTTGCTCAACCTTTGCTCAACCTTTGCTCAACCTTTGTTCAACCTTTGCTCAACCTTTGCTCAACCTTTGCTCAACCCTTGTTCAACCTTTGCTCAACCCTTGCTAAACCTTTGTTCAACCTTTGCTCAACCTTTGCTAAACCTTTGTTCAACCTTTGCTCAACCCTTGTTCAACCCTTCTTCAACCTTTGCTCAACCCTTGTTCAACCCTTCTTCAACCTTCATACAATCTTTTCAATTCAATTCAATCTTTGTTCTCTTCCAAATTTCCCATTTTTCTCATGTCAACCTTTCGGAAAAGACCTAGAAGACACAATTTTGGATGTTTTTCTCATAAAAACGTTCCACTCAATTCTCCATTCACATCCCCATCTCCCCTTTTCCATTGTTCATCAATTCCTCAAAAATATCTCGATATATTTCGATATATTTTCAGATTTCTTTTTCTTTTTCAATAGCTTTTCTTTTCACGTATCCAATCTCTTTTTTGCTTTTTTTCCCTTTTTCCCTTTTTTTCCTTTTCCCCCTTTTCCCCTTTTCCCCTTTTTTCCCTTTTTTCCTTTTCCCCCTTTTCCCCCTTTTCCCCTTTTCCCCTTTTCCCCCCTTTTTTCCTTTTATTTTTTCTCAATCGATTTCCAATTTAGTTTCTAAATTTACATTGTGAAAGAGTTTTTAAAACATTCATCAAATATTAATGTTTATCAAATATTTTTTGTTTTTTTTAAAATTATTTAAAAACAAATTTAAAAATGAAATATTCTAAGAAAAAGAATTTTTACATCCACAGAGACTCAACTCGGTTAAGCAAGAAGGTTAAGAAACAAGCTGACAACTTGTGAGGGGTGATTATGTTCAGTGAAGTAGAGTGCTCGTCTAAAGTGATCAGTGGATCAGTCATTCATCAGAGCGAACATCGATAACTGAAAAGACTCGCATGGGGATGCTTAACCGAGAGAAGTCTTTGTGGATGTATAACCGACAAGTACCATCAAATCAAATCGATTTGATTTGATTCGATACCGTATTGGAACCGTATTGGATCAGAATAGGAACCGTATTGGAACCGTATTGGAATCGTATTGAAACTTTATTGGATCAGAATAGGAACCGTATTGGAACCGTATTGGAGCCGTATTGGAAGCTTATTGAAATCGTATTGGAACCTTATTGGAATCGTATTGGAACCGTATTGGAACTTTATTGGATCAAAATAGGAACCGTATTGAAACCGTATTGGAACCTTATTGAAACCGTATTGGAACCTTATTGGAACCTTATTGAAACCGTATTGGAACCGTATTGGAACCGTATTGGAACCGTATTAGAGCCGTATTGGAACTTTATTGGATCAAAATAGGAACCGTATTGAAACCGTATTGGAACCTTATTGAAATCGTATTGGAACCGGATTGGAACCTTATTGGAACCATATTGAAACCGTAAACAAACCTTATTGGAACCTTATTGAAACCGTATTGGAACCTTATTGAAACCTTATTGAAATCGTATTGGAACCGTATTGGAACCGTATTGAAACCTTATTGAAACCGTATTGGAACCGACAAGTACCGATTTGATTTTTAAAGTCAAATCGGTGATCCGGTTCAGTGATGTTCAGTGAATGTTCAGTGAAGTAGAGTGCTCAAAGTGATCAGTGGATCAGTCATTCATCAGAACGAACATCGATAACCGAAAAGACTCGGGCGGAGACGCTTCACCGAGATAAATCTTTGTGGATTGTATAACCGACAAGTACCAAATATTTTCCCAGAATAACTTTGTTTAAGTTGGACTTCGAAAAATAGATTTAAATGATTTAAACGATTTAAACGATTTAAACGATTTCCTTTAGATTTAAACGCCATCTAAAAATAATTTACCTTCAAACTTCGCAAAATCGCCGTTTTATCGTTGACTTAGTTAAATGTTTCAAGATTTTTAAACGCTGTACTGTGCTGGGAAGCGGTACTGTGCTGTACCGCTTCCCTTCCCGCTTCCCTTCCCGCTTCCCTTCCCTTCCCGCTTCCCTTCCCGCTTCCCTTCTCGATTTAAATTCTGTATATTTATAGTAAAGATATTCGGTTAAAGATTTAAATCCAAATTCCACGTAAAAGTTATATCTTTGGCTTGTTTTTGACTTTTTTGACTTTTTTTGACCTTGATAGCATTTGAGGATTTTATTTTTGTGTATTTTTGAATGTTCTATATCTCTAGTCATTTTCTAATCATTTTCTAATGATTTTCTGATGATTTTCTAATGATTTTCTATATTTTTAATCATTTTCTAATCATTTTCCAATCATTTTCCAATCAATTTATTTCATATCTCGATTCTAGGTCCTCTTTGTGCCCATCGTCAGTGCTGGGGTGGAGTTCGGGTGGTGCACATTGGGGCGAGGAGGCTCTCCCCGCCCCTCAACAACAATTCCAACACACTGTACCTCCACCATTACAGGTAAACGATGATTAATAAGAAAGTATCCCCAGAAAATCATAAAGTATCATAAATTCTTTAAAAAAAATTGTTAATCTTTGGAAATTTTAAAATCCTAGCCTCAACTCAGCGAAAATCGAGTAAAATCTCAAATCTATGGTCGAATTGAGTGCACCAGAAAGGCTGCGTTTACAAATTTGCGCAAAAAGTACGCCAAGATATCTCTAGATTCTAGAGTATTATCAAAATAAGCCAAAAAACGCGCTTAACGGCCTCTAAATCCGCTTTTTTCTCGCTGAGGCTATCGGTCGTCGTGGCGCAGTTGGGAGGGTGGTGGTTTACAGCCTGCACGGGCCACAGAGACCCCAAGGGTTCGATCCCCTTAGAGACTTTTTGACTTAACTATGATCTCCTGGGGTGATTTTTTGACTTAACAGCTGGTTTTTCTCGCTGAGGCTATCGGTCGTTGTGGCGCAGTCGGTAGGGCGTTAGTCTACAGCCTGCACAGCCTAAATGGATCACTCGGGTTCGATCCCCCTTAGCGACTTTTTGACTTAACTATGATCTCCTGGAGTGACTTTTTGACTTAACAGCTGGTTTTTCTAGCTGAGGCTATCGGTCGTTGTGGCGCAATCGGTAGGGCGTTAGTCTACAGCCTGCACAGCCTAAATGGATCACTCGGGTTCGATCCCCCGTAGAGACTTTTTGACTTAATTTTGATTTGATTTTGACTTGTTTTAGGAAAAATGAGAAACCCAGTGCATCGGAAGGCTTCCCCACAAAGCTGGCCACAAATTAAACTCGAAAGAAAAAAGCAAAAACAAACAAAACAAAGTTTAGATGGCGTCATTCGAGCTGGAGAACGATTCTTTCTACATTTGCACCGAGTTAGCGCCAAGATGCTATATTGTGCAAAAGGTGAGCAAATTCTCTAAAACGATTTAAAGCTCTAAAACGATTTAAAGCTCTAAAACGAAGCAAATCAACGATTTAAAGCTCTAAAACGATTTTAAAGCCAATTTAAAACGATTTGCTAAACGCTAAACGGATGCCAATCAATCAACAATCGAACCTTCAGGCAATTCAAATCGATCGCGGACAATTGGAGCGTATGATGGGCGAAAAGGAGACGAAAAGGGATCGCGAAAGGCAGCACATGATGAGTGAAACGAACGAGCATCACACTCACGCACCACCGCCACCAATTTTACCCTATTGGTGAGCGCTCTTTTTTAAATCTAATCGATTTAAATATTAGTGTTTAATGCAAATATTTAGTTTAAATATTTAATTTAAATATATTTAATTTAAATATTTGTTTAAATATCTTTTTCAAACTAGTCTTTCCATAGAATACTTTAGGAAAGTTGTTGTAGTTTAACCTTTATATAATATAGTTGTTATTATCGTTCTAGGCAGGTTATCGTTCTAGGCAGGTCATTGTTCTAGAGAGGTTATCGTTGTAGCAAGAGTATCGTTGTAGCCAGGTTATCGTTCTAGCCATTTTATCGTTCTAGGGAGGTTATCGTTCTAGGGAGCTTATCGTTCTAGGGAGGTTATCGTTCTAGGGATTTTATCGTTCTAGGGAGCTTATCGTTCTAGCCATTTTATCGTTCTAGGCAGGTTATCGTTCTAGCCAGGTTATTGTTCTAGAGAGGTTATCGTTGTAGCAAGAGTATCGTTGTAGCCAGGTTATCGTTCTAGCCATTTTATCGTTCTAGGGAGGTTATCGTTCTAGCCAGGTTATCGTTCTAGGGAGCTTATCGTTCTAGGGAGGTTATCGTTCTAGGGATTTTATCGTTCTAGGGAGCTTATCGTTCTAGCCATTTTATCGTTCTAGGCAGGTTATCGTTCTAGCCAGGTTATTGTTCTAGAGAGGTTATCGTTGTAGCAAGAGTATCGTTGTAGCCAGGTTATCGTTCTAGGCAAGGTTATCGTTCTAGGCAGGTTATCGTTGTAGCAAGATTCTCGTTCTAGGCAGGTTATCGTTGTAGCAAGATTCTCGTTCTAGGCAGGTTATCGTTGTAGCAAGATTCTCGTTCTAGCCATTTTATCGTTCTAGGCAGGTTATCGTTCTAGCCAGGTTATTGTTCTAGAGAGGTTATCGTTGTAGCAAGAGTATCGTTGTAGCCAGGTTATCGTTCTAGGCAAGGTTATCGTTCTAGGCAGGTTATCGTTGTAGCAAGATTCTCGTTCTAGGCAGGTTATCGTTGTAGCAAGATTCTCGTTCTAGCCAGGTTATCGTTCTAGGCAAGGCTATCGTTGTGGCAAGATTATCGATCTAGCCAGGTTATCGTTCTAGCCAGGTTATCGTTCTAGCAAGATTCTCGTTCTAGCCAGGTTATCGTTCTAGGCAGGTTATCGTTGTAGCAAGATTCTCGTTCTAGGCAGGTTATCGTTGTAGCAAGATTCTCGTTCTAGCCAGGTTATCGTTCTAGCAAGATTCTCGTTCTAGCCAGGTTATCGTTCTAGGCAGGTTATCGTTGTGGCAAGATTATCGATCTAGCCAGGTTATCGTTCTAGCCATTTTATCGTTCTCGGGAGGTTATCTTTCTAGCCATTTTATCGTCCTAGCCAGGTTATCGTTCTAGCTTATCGTTCTAGCCATTTTATCGTTCTAACCAGGTTATCGTTCTAGCCAGGTTATCGTTATATCAAGATCAGTTATATCAAGATCTAAACTGGCTTTCTTAATCAAATCGTTATGGAGAATTATTATAAAAAAAGATAGAAAAGCTTTACTTTGACAGTCTTTCAATTACAATCTCTTCTTTGCTTTCATTCCCAGAAACTATTGACATTTAGGTCAAATCAATAAACTTTAGGTTTACCCAAGATTGTCGTCGCGATCTTCTCCTCTATTCACCGCCAAATTCGTATACGCCGAGCCCATCGCCGATTCCACAAGCGCCCGATCTCAAGACACAGCTCCGATTACAGCTAGAGTACTATTTCTCGAGGTCAGCATACAAGTTTCTAGCTCTTATCCGAAAGAATCTTCAGAGAAAACCTGATTCAAGATCGTTATCTTCGTTGCCAAATGGACACCGATCAATGGGTTTCCATTGCGATCATTGCCGGTTTTCGGAAAATCGTTCAACTAACTACTGATTACTCGCTGATCTTGCAAGTGTTAAGGGGTTCGTTTTAGAGCTTTAAACTCTACTTCATACTGTACAACGTGCAAGTACAGTACAAGTTCGTGCAAGTACAGTTCAGTACAGTACGGTTCAGTACAGTACAGTACAGTACAAGTAGGTACAAGTACGTGCAAGTACATGCAAGGACAGTACAAGTACATGCAAGTTCAGCACAGTACAAGTACATGCAAGTATAGTAAAAGTACGTACAAGTTCGTGCAAGTATAGTACAAGTACGTGCAAGTGCAGTACAGTTCCGTGGAGTACGGTACAGTACAGTACAGTTCCGTGGAGTACGGTAGAGTACAGTACAGTTCCGTGGAGTACGGTACAGTACACTACAGTACAGTGCAAGTACAGTACGGAACAAGTACGTACAAGTACAATAGAGTCCAGCACAAGTACAGTACAGTACAAGTACAGGCTAGTACAGTACAGTACAAGTACAGGCTGGTACAGTACAGTACAAGTACAGGCTGGTACAGTACAGTACAAGTACATGCTAGTACAGTACAGTACAAGTACATGCTAGTACAGTACAAGTACGTGCAAGTACAAGTACAGTACAGTTCAGTAGAGTACAGTACAGTACAAGTACAGGCAAGTACAGTACAAGTACAGGCAAGTACAGTTCAGTACAATACAGTACAGTACAGTACATTACAAGTATGTACAAGTACAGTACAAGCAAGTACAGTAGAGTACAAGCAAGTACAGTACAGTACAAGTACAGTACAGTTCAGTAGAGTACAGTACAGTTCAGTAGAGTACAGTACAGTACAGTTCAGTAGAGTACAGTACAGTTCAGTAGAGTACAGTACAGTACAGTACATTACAAGTACGTGCAAGTACAGTATAAGTAGTACAGTACAGTACAGTACATTGAATTCTAGTTGTTTAGAATCTTCAATGGTTGAAGTGGATGAGAAAGGAGAAAAAGTACGGCCAGTAAGCCGGCGATGCACGATTATTTTACGTGAAGTGGCTGAGGATCAAGCTTTCGTAAGTCAAAATCGAAATTCTTGAATCCTAGATGAATTGAGAGTCTTTTTGGGGATCTTATGTACTTATGTACTTATGAACTTATGAACTTATGAACTTATGCACTTAACTATGAACTTAACTATGAACTTAACGATCTTATGAACGAAGAGCTCTCTCAGGCTGTCGAAGAGATGCTTGGCGGCGGTCCATCGTATGTTTCGCTTCGCTACGGTCTCAACAATAGTTGGTGAGCTTTATAGATTGACGGCAGCTGGCTCAGCTGGCTCAGCTGGCCCAGCAGCTGGCTCAGCTGGCTCAGCTGCTCAGCTTTTTCGATTAGCTTTAACAATTCGATCGATCCTCTCAGGTATGTCACCTACAACACCGAGGAGGAAACTCAAGAAGCCTATTTACACTTGCAAAATAGTGGCGCGTCGATCAATGGGAAACCTGTTTGTGTGAGTGTTTATGATCGAGCTAGGGGAGTATTTATGATCTAGCTAGATAGCTAGATCTAGCTAGATCTAGCTAGATCTAGCTAGATAGCTAGATCTAGCTAGATCTAGCTAGATAGCGTAGTGATCCCGGATTCTAGGCTCGGATCAAGACCGGTGGCCCTCCATCTTCCGAGCTCTACCCGGAGCGATCCACCTCTTCCGTTCCCCCAATGGCTCCATCGCCGACAAATGATCTACCGGTGACGACGGGTCAGTCACTTCAATAGAATCTCAATAGAACTTCAAATAATGAGTACAGTATCTACAGATATTAAAAAGACTGTTTCAGAAAGATGCTACCGTAAATACTGTACAGTCGCGTAGTCGCAAAAGTTTTTTAGTATTTCATTGTTTTTGCAAAGCACTCGTACTTTCAAAAAATGCGTCTTTTGTATCAAAAAATAGCCCTGAATTTCAGCTATTTTTTTGATACCTAAGCGCGCACTATATCATAAACCAGTGTCGAGAAAAACGCGTCCAAAGCTAGACTACGCAACACTCCGCACCCTCATTATGGGGGGTGGGGTACTATTACAGTATTTATGGTAGGCTTTTTGGAGGCTGGGATTATTGCTGACCCTCCTCTAGGCTCATCAGAGGCTTGGACCTGACTTCTGCCAAAGTGGAGCAGAAAGGGGGCAGAAAGGGGGCAGAAAGGGGGCAGAAAGGGGCAGAAAGGGGCAGAAAGGGGACAGGAAGTGGAGCAGGAAGTGAGGCAGGAAGTGGGGCAGGAAGTGGGGCAGGAAGTGGAGCAGGAAGTGGAGCAGGAAGTGAGGCAGAAAGGGGGCAGGAAGTGGGACAGGAAGTGGGGCAGGAAGGAGGGCAGAAAGGGGCAGAAAGGGGCAGAAAGTATATTATTAGTATCATTATTCTATAATTCTGTTTCTGACTTTATTGCTGGACTAGACTAACCAGAAGCCTGGCATGGACCTGATCTCGGTCTTGGTTCTGGTTCTAGTTCTAACCCTGATCTAACTTGAAGCCAGGATCGGTCTTGACGTTTGGCTTTGGTCCCACGTTGCTGAAGAACGGGTTTCTGGGCTTAGCTAGTCTGTTTGACATGACGTCTGTATTCCAGAAAGCATTCCAGAAAGCCCAGGGTAGTCTAGGGTAGTCTAGGGTAGTCTAGGGAAGTCTAGGATAGTCTGGGGTAGTCTAGGGAAGTCTAGGGTAGTCTAGGGTAGTCTAGGGAAGTCTAGGATAGTCTGGGGTAGTCTGGGGTAGTCTAGGGTAGTCTAGGATCCATCTGACAGGCTAGATCTTCTGATATGACTTCTGACAGGTCTTCTGACTTCTGACAGGCCTTCTAACAAGCCTTCTGACTTCTGCCTTGGATTCTAACGGACCCTGGCTTATTCAAAAGTCTCACTAGAAGACTTGGAGAGGGCTTTTGTCTGCTTTGGTTCTAGGGCTCTACCTCAGTACTCTGTCCATTGCCCATATCCAACCATTTTCTAGCACAAACCCCGTCAACATGCTCGTCAAACCCTGCACCTCCACCAGCTCAATACACTCATTTATACGATTTGGGGAGTGTTCTAGCGGCACACGGCTTTGTGCCAAGAGCCACTTACAGGTAAGAAAGTGAGACAAAAAGACAAAGACAAAGAGCTTTTAGTCTTTCTAAACTTTTAGCTATCTTCTAGACCTTCTAGACCTTCTATTTACTTCTAGATCTTCTAGACCTTCTATTTACTCTTCTAGGCCTTCTATTTGCTCTTCTAGACCCGGTCAAACGGTTGTGCACGTCACGTCGGATTCTGGTGTTTCGAGTGGATTGGGTGGCGGAAATGGACTAATGGGGGCACAACCGATCACATCTACATTGACCACTCCATACATGACACAGCCAGCTCTCTCAACAACACCTCCGCTATTTAGGTGAGTACATAGATAGTTTTAGCTAATGCTAGGCATTGCTTGGCTTTGAGCATTGGCTGGCTTTGGGTATTGGCTGGCTTTGAGCATTGAAAGGCTTTAGGCATTGGCTGGCTTTGGGCATTGCTAGGCATTGGCTGGCTTTGTGTGCCAGGCTTTGGAAAAATCTGCCAGAAGTCCAGTTTGCTAAGCCAAGCCTGCATTAGGCTTTTGGCCTAGATATGGCTTCTAGCCTAACTTACAGACTCTAGGACTCGGTTGGATCATTTTTGAATCCAAGAAGCTAGAGCTAGAGATGTGGAGCTAGCTTTTCAAAGCCAGCTAGCCAGCCAGCTAGCCAGCCAGCGCCAGCCAGCTAGCCAGCCAGCTAGCCAGCCAGCTAGCCAGCCAGCTAGCCAGCCAGCCAGCCAGCCAGCTAGCCAGCCAGCCAGATCATCGATCTATTATGCTTCTTTTTTAGAGAGTTCATCCCCAATTCGTCAAGTCCGACTCTTCGCGGTGCTTCAAGAATGACAAGCGGAACAGGGAAACATCGAGGAAACTCATCACCGAGAGATCAACGATTTTCACACACAAATCAGGTCAATTTTTTTGAGCATTTAATTAAAATACAATATTTTTTTATAGCAGAGTCAAATGAGATCGAAAATGAGATCCGAATTTCTCCAGTTTCGATAAGAAGAGTCATTTTTAAGTTGCCTATACTCTAGTGATAGATTTGGATTTAAAATAAACTAGAGCTAGAGATGTGGACCGAATTCTAAAGCTATCGAGCTATCGAGCCCTTTTTCAGCCATCCACTTACACGCCGACGAATTCTTTTTACTCGAATGGCCTTTATCCGAATGGTGAACCGAAACGAGGTGAGAGGAAAAGCTTTGTTTGTTGTTTTTATGTTTTCATAGCTTTTAACTTTCATTTAAGCCTTCAAAAGCTGTTTTTCTTATCTAGATTTTCGTCTAGATTGATTTAAAAAGCTCTAGGTCGTGGTGGAGCGCGTGGAAATGGAGCCACAAGGGGCACAAGAGCCACGTTTGTTTCAAGTGGTAAGAGAAAAGAATTGGCCTTGTAAAAAAGAATAGGCCTTGTTTTGAAATTGGATGGGATTTCTCAAAGAAAGCTGGCCTGATGTTCCAACCGAGCCAGTCAGGCAAAGACAGGCAAGGCAAGCCCAGTGCTCAGCCAAAATCCAGGCCCGATTTCTGGAAGGGAGGATTTATCGGCCAAGTTAGGCCAAGCTTAAACCGAATCACTGATTCTCATATCTTATGAAAATACCTAAAGTACCGTTATTGTTCTAATAGAAGAGTACAATCGATGGGCATATTTTGATGCTATGGCTATTTGATGCCCTCAATGCTATGGTTATGAAATCGGACTAGGACTCTAGTTCTGATTTGGACTCTAGGATTCAGACTCTAGTCCGGATTCAGACTCTAGTTCGGATTCTAGACTCTAGTCCGGATTCAGACTCTAGTTCTGATTCAGACTCTAGTTCAGATTCAGACTCTAGTTCTGATTCAGACTCTAGTTCAGATTCAGACTCTAGTCCAGATTCAGACTCTAGTTCAGATTCAGACTCTAGTTCAGATTCAGACCCTAGTTCTGATTCTAGACTCTAGTCCGGATTCAGACTCGAGTCTGGCGCCCAGCCAGATTCAGACTCTAGTTCGGATTCAGACTCTAGTTCAGATTCAGACTCTAGTTCTGATTCTAGACTCTAGTCTGGATTCAGACTCTAGTCTGGATTCAGTCTCTAATCCGGATTCTAGACTCTAGTTCTGATTCTAGACTCTAGTTCTGATTCAGACTCTAGTTAAATTTCCTCTAATTTGTAAATTATCAGAGAAACGCCGTGGCGATCGCTCCGATCAGCGGTACTTTGAGGGAACGCCGAAAATGACGAGACGGTTGAATGAGGGGTTTTTGCAGAAACAAGAATATGGAATGAGCACACAATATGATGGAAGAAAGACACCGGGAGGACAAGATAGAAATGATGGGATGATGTCGAGTGGACTGAATGGGTGAGTGTCTGGCTTGGGGATACTGTAGTCTGTCTGTCTGTCTGTCTGTCTTTTCTTCAAGGATTAATGTAGCCAAAGGTTTATTTCATTCAGCAAAAATGGTTTAAGTGTAATTTGTAACTTCTGGTGCAATTCATGGCATTAAATCATAAAAATGAAGAACTCAGTGAGCTCTAGCCAGCTAGAGAAGCTAGAGAAGCTAGCTAGCCAGGTAGAGAAGCTAGCTAGCCAGATAGAGAAGCTGGAGAAGCTAGATAGCCAGCTAGAGAAGCTGGACCCAGCTAGAGAAGCTAGAGGCTGCTAGCCAGGTAGAGAAGCTAGCTAGCCAGCTAGAGAGCTACAGAAGCTAGCTAGCCAGCTAGAGAAGCTAGAGAAGCTAGATAGCCAGGTAGAGAAGCTAGCTAGCCAGATAGAGAAGCTACAGAAGCTAGCTAGCCAGCTAGAGAAGCTAGAGAAGCTAGCTAGCCAGGTAGAGAAGCTAGCTAGCCAGATAGAGAAGCTACAGAAGCTAGCTAGCCAGCTAGAAAGGCGCAGCTAGCCAGCTGGTGCTAGCCAGCTAGAGAAGTTAGCTAGCCAGCTAGAGAAGCTAGAGAAGCTACAGCAGCTAGCTAGCCAGCTAGAGAAGCTAGAGAAGCTAGCAAGCCAGCTAGAGAAGCTAGAGAAGCTAGCTAGCCAGTCAGAGAAGCCAACTAGCTAGAGAAGCTAGCTAGCCAACTAGAGAAGCCAGCTAGCTAGCCAGAATTTCTGTTTCTTTACCTCCAAGAATGAAAACTTTCGGGACTCTTGGGAAACTCAACCATCTTTTATTTAAAAATGATTTTTCCCCTTTAATTTGTACCCTTTTCAGCTATCCCCATTCGTCGAAACATTTAAAAGAGAATGGCCATCAACCACAGACAATTCCATCGATTCTCCCGCCACGTGTCACCATTGGAGGAGTGATTCCCCCAACGCCAACCACTCTAATCCCATCGCCATTCAAAAGAAACCCAACGATCAACAACAACAACGCTGAGAATGAAGCAAGGGTTTTGGTTGGTGGAAAGGTTTTCTTTTGTTTGTTTGTTTGTTTGTTTGTTTGTTTGTTTGTTTGTTTGTTTGTTGTTTATTTATTTATTTGCTTCTTTCTTTGATAGATTTTCTTTCAGCAATTGCAAAACTCATCAAATGCAACAGATGATGATGGTGGATGGAATGCAGGAACAAGAACAAGAATCGACAAAAATGAGGAAAGGAATGAACAACAACGGAGCACAAGAGACAACAATAATGGTAAGAGGAAAGCCTTGAAGCCTTGAAGCCTTGAAGCTTGAAGCCTTGAAGCCTTTGAAGCCTTGAAGCCTTGAAGCCTTGAAGCCTTGAAGCTTTGAAGCTTGAAAGCTTGAAATCCCCAAATCCCCAATTTCCAAATTTACAGCACATTCCTATTTCTCGGAACGACAATTTCCGAGTGTCTCCACCAGCATCGCCACTCCAACGAGTGGCTCGACGACCGCGGGGAGTTTGGGTACCCGTAGGGAAAGGAGCCAAATGAGCCAAGCCAAGCCAGCCACAAAGCCAACCACAAAGTCAACCACAAATCCAACCACAAGACAAGCATCCGAGAGTGAGAAATCGAGAACGATTAGGTGAGTTCGAAAATGCGATTTCAAACAAAATGTCTGAGCAATCACTATGAGCAGTCAGCAGTCAGCAGTCAGCAATCAGCAGTCAGCAGACAGCAATCAGCAATCAGCAGTCAGCAATCAGCAATCAGCAATCAGCAAACAGCAATCAGCAATCAGCAATCAGTCATCAGCAATCAGCAATCAGCCATCAGCCATCAGCAATCAGTCATCAGCAATCAGCAATCAGCCATCAGCAGTCAGCAATCAGCAGTCAGCAATTAGCAATCAGCCATCAGCCATCAGCAATCAGCCATCAGCAGTCAGCAATCAGCAGTCAGCCATCAGCCATCAGCAATCAGTCATCAGCAATCAGCAGTCAGCAATTAGCAATCAGCCATCAGCCATCAGCAATCAGCAATCAGCAGTCAGCAATCAGCAGTCAGCAATCAGCAATCAGCAATCAGCAATCAGCAGTCAAATTTCAGTCAAATCGGAATAACTTTAAGCGGCCTCAAAGTGATCAAAGTGGTTTAAAGAGAGCACGAGGGATTCTAGGGATTCTAGGGATTCTAGAGAAAAAACTTTAATTCTTTAATTCTTTAATTCTTCAGTTCTTTAAAAACTAAATTTTGAATTCTAAATCTTCTATTTTTTTTCTAAATTCTAAATCGAAAAACTTCTTTTTCTAGTAGATTTTACATTCAGAAACATGAAAATAAATGAGATGAAGTCATGAATTGATTAGGCCAAAGTTTTCCCCATAGAATCGTCCACAATTCGTAAGCCTTCAAGTCAGCAGTCAGCTGATAAGTTGATTTCAAGCTTTGATTCATATTCGAATCTCGTTACAATTGCTGTTCTTCAGCTTAGAAAGCTTAGAAAGCTTCAGCTTCAGCTTAGAGAGCTTCAGCTTCAGCTTAGAAAGCTTCAGCTTCAGCTTAGAGAGCTTCAGCTTCGGCTTAGAGAGCTTCAGCTTCAGCTTCAGCCTGACGAAGAAGAAGTTTTCTGGATGAAATTATTCGCTAGAACGATCATCCTTTAGAACGATCATCCTTTAGTATCAAACTCAAAATCTTATCTTTTACGAGTTTAATTCCCGGCTCTCTTATCGGCTCTCTAAACTGCTTTATTAAACCGGTCGCTCTGGTACTTGAGATGAAATAGATTGCACCATTTGATTTAACCATTTGGCCATTTGACCATTTGGCCATTTCCCCATTTGGCCATTTCCCCATTTGACCATTTGACCATTTGACCATTTGACCAATTGATCTGATCATCGGGAAAACCATTCATCTTCAAATTCTTTAGTGAATCCGGCCGCTCTGGTACTTCAGCTGTCTCTGGCCCTTCCTCTTCAACTCCATCAACCGTTTATTCTTTTGAAGAACAATCATTTCCTGTGCTCGTCGAACAAAAACCCCAACCACCGAAACCCGAACCGAAGCCCACTTTCAGGTAGACTTTAACTTTAAACTTAAAGTAGACTTTAAAGGCATCCATCCATCCAGTCCATCCAGATACACTTCCCAGATACATTGAGCCCATGCAAAGGCAACCCTTCTGGTGCACTGAATCTCTAATCCCTTTTCACCGTAATCCACCGCTACTCGCAATCCACTTCTTCAGCCAGAGCGTCTAGTTTTTAGAAAACGCAAGACTCTAGTCAAGACGGTGACAATGCTAAGCAAAATCTTTGATCACGAGCTACCGTAAGACTTAAACAGCTACCGTAAGACCTAAACCTTTGACTGAAACAGCTACCGTAAGACCTAAACATTTGACTGAAACAGCTACCGTAAGATCTAAACCTTTGACTGAAACAGCTACCGTAAAAAGACACCGCACAATCTAAACCTTTGACTGAAACAGCTACCGTAAGACCTAAACCTTTGACTGAAACAGCTACCGTAAGATCTAAGCCTTTGACTGAAACAGCTACCGTAAGATCTAAACCTTTGACTGAAACAGCTACCGTAAGATCTAAACCTTTGACTGAAACAGAGCTACCGTAAGCCTTAAACTTTTGACCGAAACAGCTACCGTAAGACCTAAAGTAGTCTAAGCTAATAAAACAAGAAGTAGAAAGCGAAATAGGAGCCACGTTTTAGAAAGAGATTCAAAGCAAAGCATAATTGATTCTATTTTTTAGTTTCATCGCCTCCGGTCGTCGAAAGGAGCGTCCACCCGAGAAAAAAAGCTACGCGGCGATGCTGAAAGTGGCTTCGATTCCACCGAACAAATCATGACTTTTGCAAATTTATTTTCTATATTTTACTCTATAAGAGAAATTGCCAATTGCCAAATTGATTTTAGCCAAATTTGATGTGTCAAAAAGTTTCCCCGTTTTGTCAATTCCCTTCATTTCTCGGCCAAATTTGTTTACAATAGAGATTTTCGCTTTTTAGATTTTATTTGCTAAGAAAGTAGTACTCTAACGTACCGGTACATTACCACGATAGTACTGTCACGTACTGCTACAGTACCACCATAGCAGCGATACTATGCAGCTATGATTTTACCTGTAGTACTATGCATGCAGTACTTTACGATCCCCTACTAGTCTACACAAGTAGTACAGTAATGGTCTACACAAGTAGTACATAGTACTATGTACTGTACGGTTCTGTGATCCATTGCACTTGTACTACGGTACTTCTACAGAGAACCGCTATCAACCATTTCTTTTTAAGACTCACGAAAGACTTTCATATCTACCGTAATCCGTATTACGGTCCTAGAATCCTATAGAATCCTAAAGAATCCTAAAGAAACCTATAGAAACCTATAGAATCCTATAGAAACCTATAGAATCCTATAGAATCTTAAAGAGTCTTAAAGAATCCTAAAGAATCCTATAGAATCCTATAGAATCCTATAGAATCTTAAAGAATCTTAAAGAATCTTAAAGAATCCTATAGAATCCCATAGAAACCTATAGAAACCTATAGAAACCTATAGAATCCTAAAGAATCCTAAAGAAACCTAAAGAAACCTATAGAATCCTATAGAAACCTATAGAGTCCTATAGAATCTTAAAGAATCTTAAAGAATCCTATAGAATCCCATAGAAACCTATAGAAACCTATAGAAACCTATAGAAACCTATAGAAACCTATAGAATCCTAAAGAATCCTAAAGAAACCTAAAGAAACCTATAGAATCCTATAGAAACCTATAGAGTCCTATAGAATCTTAAAGAATCTTAAAGAATCTTAAAGAATCCTATAGAATCCCATAGAAACCTATAGAAACCTATAGAAACCTATAGAAACCTATAGAATCCTAAAGAATCCTAAAGAATCCTAAAGAAACCTAAAGAAACCTATAGAATCCTATAGAAACCTATAGAATCCTATAGAAACCTATAGAATCCTATAGAAACCTATAGAATCTTAAAGAATCTTAAAGAATCCTATAGAATCCCATAGAAACCTATAGAATCCTATAGAAACCTATAGAAACCTATAGAATCCTAAAGAATCCTAAAGAAACCTATAGAAACCTATAGAACCCTATAGAATCCTATCGAATCGAATCCTATAGCAAAACCGGTACGTGAAAGGCGTTTAAAATAAAAGCCTCCCTAGAATCAATCCATTTAAGATATCAAAACTGAAATCAGAAATTGTGATTAATTTATGCATTTTTCTAGCTTTTCTTTTTTGTTCTTTACATTTTTTTAAACACTTTGCATAATTTTTTGCTTTTCTCTAACATTTCCTAAATCATACCCCTTTCTACCGTAAACTTGTCTCTATTTTTTTTTTGATCCAATCTATCCACTTTTTATATCTTTCAATATCCTTTTTGAACCCTCACAGAATCAAACAAAAAGTAGATAGATTCGATAAAAAAAGAGACAAGTTTACGGTAGAAAGAGAAAGGGGACACGGTTTAGGAAACGATTTGCGTGGATCCGATTCAAACTTCAAAACATTTCCCTACAGAAATCAGGTCATCCCTTCGAAATTAGACTTGATTAAACCGTTCTCTAAAACTATGCGCCTCAAGAAGTTACCGTAATCCCGTTTTTATGATTGAAATTAACTATAGCCTATTTTAAAACCACTGTAGCTATTGGGTACGGTGCTTTTTCCGAACAAAGTAAAGGTTTAGAAAACGGTTCATCATAGCCAAAAAAAAATAATTTCCCCATTCCCGTGCATATCTTGGACACACAAAACGACGTTGCCAAAATTTTCATACATTTTCTTTTGTTTTTGTTTTGCGAATTGCCGAGAAATTTCTCTTTGTCTGTATTTTTTGAGATATTTGTGCGTTTTTCTCCTGTTTTCTATTAGGTGGACTTTTCGCGGTGTGGCTTTTGAGGGGTTTTAGAAGGAAATCTAGCCTTATCGTTAGATAAAAGAAATACCTGGTTTCAATTTGCATATATGGCAATCACGTTCTTTTAAAAACCCTCTCCTCTTCCTTGACAAAAAAGTATTCAGCTTACCGGTACCGTACTCTCTTCACTAGTCTCTCTATTCCTTTTCTCTTCCTCTTTTCTGTCCTATTTTTTGAGTTCAGGTCGTTTTTTTAAAAAAAAAAAATGTGAAACAGTTGTGAATAATAAATGTTAAAAGGCTAACGATCGATTTACTAACATTTACTTATTAATTATAACAAAACATTTACTAAAATGATCCATATAGGATAAAAGCACTAAAACACTAAAATAAACTTACAAAATATGGCACAGCAAAAATTGTTTCAATTTGAGTGCTTTCATTTCTTTGGTGAAACGATGAAGAGCTTGCCTTGGTTGAATAATGCTTCGTTGAGCGATTGGCTCTAAACAGAAGAATTTGAAAAATCAAGCAATTTTTTTCTAAAATTAGATTCTTTTCTAATCCCTCAAAACAAACCATTTCCGTAATACTTGGAACTTTTTGATATTCCATCAGTTGATTTCTTGTATAAACTAACGACTCATCATTTTTGGCAGTGCGCGTGAACGAAATGTTGTCATTCTTAGCTACCCACGATAAGAAATCATCGGATCGTTTATCTAAATACCGTAGTTAAAATAACATTAATTCACCGGTCATGTCTTTATTATAGCTTATCTAACTTCAGTAATGCTAAATCCAAAATAACAAACCTGTATCTGTCACGACTAATTTCACTAGATTCACGGATCCTTGATATCCTAAATCTATTGTTTATAACAACTTTTTATAAACACTACCTTTAGTTGTGCACACCAGCTTCAATGTTGAACTTCTTTTCATTTCATTGAGACGCTTTCGCACAATGTCCACACTATTTTGGTCGTTGAAAAGCACGTCGGCAAATTGACATTGAATCACCTAAAAAATAGGAGTTGATGCAGTTAATGACAAAGCACAAACCGTTTGTGGAAGATGAAAGTTTAATGACCTTTGATACATCGAGTTGTTGATCAACCACGTATTCATGACAATCACCTAAAAGAACACAAATTGTCAGTTACATTCACAAAAGATTTACTCATCAAGTCATTTATTGACCCGTGTAGCTTGACAAACATTTAAAAATTGTACCGTTTTTCCGAAATCGACGAGATATCCATAAAGATAATCCCCTTTTTGAATGATCCGTGCTCGGTAAGCGATACTGTTCAACGTCACAATGCAACAATCATTCACTTCTGGACCGATATCATCTGGTAGGCGCGAAGACGCATGAACGTTAATAGCTCGCTGCATGTTTGCATAACTAAAACACTCAAATTTTAATCTTCCTTTAAATAAGCTTCTTTACACGCAGCATATAGTTGCTCAATTATCCTTTTACAGACAATCAACCGCAAAACCAACCATTCATTTTCAAAGTCCTTGATTCGACAGAAAAACGTGAGTTTCCTGTCATCATCGAGAAAATTGCGTGGCGCTTCGACAATCTCAATGACTTGTGGCTTCAACAACGGAAGATCTCCGTGGATGATTCGATAGGGTTCCGTTCGAGTTGTCGGGTGTCGAGCAACAGTCGTTTTGGTGGCAGTAATGGTGGATGATACGGGGATCGGTTTGTTTCTGTTTTGGTTTGCTGGGAGAGGAGAGCTAGAAAAAAAAATCATTATTCAAATTCACTTTTTAGCTTGCACAATAGTCACAATAGTTTTTGCCTTTAAAAATGCTAATTTGAATTCGGATAGAATTAATTACCCTTTTTTCTCCTTGAGTTCGCAGAACTTTCTCGGGGCTTTTATCGCTTCATCGTTGTTGCTGTTGTTGTTGTTTTCTTTCTCGTGCAGTTGATCTTTCCCCAGGAACGGTTCCACCTTTAACATCAATTTTACAATTGAAACTTCATATGCCCACAATAAGTGTAGTGTTATCAATCGTCAGTTGTCGTTTGTTTCTCAACTCGTTCCGAATCTTATCGCCATCTTCTAAGCGTAACATCGTGACAAAGCTAAAGGGTTTATTTTTAGTATGAAACGACCAGTAACTTTAAGTCAAAAAAGGTCAAATACTTACGCATTTTGAACTCCATTTCGAACGGTTGTTCCCATCGCGACATTGTCGACGAGTCCGAGTTGATAGAAAGCCGAAAAGAGCCGCCACTAAATTTAAAAATTGAAAAGAATCATAATGTGAGCTAAACATTGTTTAATTTAATGTTTACTTAAAGACCACCAAAGCTTTTAGCCAGATACCAAACTTTTAGACAGATATCAAGCTTTCCAAAAAGTAAAAGCAAGTTAACAATTAGCCAGTCATTTGAAAGTTTTGAGTTGCAGGTTTTATCCACGTAAACCTAGTACAATAGACTTTATTTGGTACATTCAAAAAATTCTACAGTTTAGGAATTAGGAAGACAGTCTAATTTAGAAGGTCACAGTCTAATCACCTGATTTCTGTAGGGAAATGTTTTAGAGTTTGAAAAAGAAGGCACACTAGGGTTTTGCTTACAATTTGCAAAACAACACCAAACCAGCTATCAAACGTTCTTTTACATCACAAAAATGCAATTTTCTTTCTTAGACATGAAATAAACAATCAATATTAATCAATCAGTATCAATATTATCAATCTTTAAAACGCTAAAACACTTCCCACCTCATCCCAATCGGCGGGCACATCTTTGACGTAAAATTTCCTCCATGGATTCGGGTCGAATCGTTGCGCGTTCTCCTCATCAAACATCGGTTTAACCATCTAAAATAAGAGAGATTAGTGAAATTTACAACAAAAAACAAGAAAAACAAGAAAAAAGAAAAGCAACATCAAGCGTCCACAAAAAAATTCCCGAGAATTTGTTTTGGGAGTGGCTACTTTGCGCCAAATTGTTGGCCCAACTCGCCATAACTTTCTTCTAAGTTGGCCAATCTTTATGGTTTTGGTGTCATTTTGTTGCAATTATTGAGATCTACAAAGTGACACCAAAATCATAAAGATTAGCCGACTTAGAAGAAGGTTATGGTGAGTTGTGCAAACGGCCCAGTTGCGCAAATGACCCAGTTGTGATGGGCATCTGCTATGCGGCTGCTTTTACCTAGCGGTACTGAGGGCACGTAGCACAAATCTGGGGATAGGCTACTTTGCGCCAAATTTTTTGCGCAACTCGCCATAACTTTCTTCTAAGTCGGCCAATCTTTATGATTTTGGTGTCATTTTGTAGATCTCAATAAGTGTAACAAAATGACACCAAAATCATAAAGATTTACCCACTTAGAAGAAAGTTAGGGAGAGTTGTTTTGAGCTGAAACACATTGTTTCGAATTTATAAGCGCAAAATTAGAAAAGCCTTTAAAAATTGCAATTTTAGTTGTTTAACTGAATATCTTTGAAGGTATTACTGTAACGATTGTCAATATAAAAGGAATTTTGCGCAAAATTTTTTAGCTTTCGCGGTAAACTTGCTGAATCTGTTGGGAGTGGGACAAATGCGACCTTTTTTTTGCGCACCTGGACATTTGCGCACCTTTTTTTCCGCACCTTGCCCATTAGCGCACCTTTTTTCGTGTTTTAAAAAAGCTCTAAAAAGCTAATATTAACCAATTTCTATTCCAAAAGTTGTTTTTCTAGGTAATTTTAGGGCGTAGAATCGAAGTTTTGGTATATCAGAGCTTGTAGAAGCGAACGGACGGAGTTATACAAAGAGAAAATCAACAATTTTCTGTAATTTCACCTAGCCGTTTTGTCTTTCAAATTGGTTCCACACGCTCTGTTATGTCAAAATTTGAATTCGACACCCTCAAATTACCTAGAAAAACAACTTTTGGAATAGAAATTGGTTAATATTAGCTTTTAGAGCTTTTTTAAAACGCGAAAAAAGGTGCGCTAATGGGCTAAGTGCGGAAAAGAAGGTGCGCAAATGTCCGGGTGCTCAAAAAAAAGGTAGCATTTGTCCCACTCCCCTGAATCTGTTTGTAATTTTGAAAGGGTGTTGTCTTGAATAGCCAAAATTGCTCACTATTTTTAGTGTTTTTTCTGGATTCGTCATGTTTCTATCGACGACTTTCTATTTTCTATACACCACGTCTCTATCGCTGATCGTTATTAGACTTGGCTATCGATATTATTGTTATTTTTGGAGTGGTCGCGTAAAAATCTTATAACTTTGCACAAAACTGCTCAAATGCTCTGAAAATTGGCCATTGGAAAATCAAAAATCATTTAGGCAGCGAATACTAGAAGAGCACGCAAAACGCAGCTCTAAAAACCTAATTGATACACTATCAATATGACCTTATCGAGCCCTTATCGATAGCGTATCGATAAGGTTTTTTGAGATGTGTCGCTCTTCTAACAGTACGTATTAGAGATTAAAAGAAGCTTGAACTTCTGGCTTTCCATTGGTAAAAGTTATAGAGCATTTGGAGCTACAATCACAATATGTCCGCTTTAATACGAGCACTCCAATATATCGATAGCCAAGTCTAATCGTTATATTGTCCTTTTCAAAGCAGCAATTTAAACTTTTCGCAAGTCAACATCCGTGCTCATTACATCACTTTTTTTATCTCGTTACAATTTCAAACAGTGTAATGTTTCCGTTTTAGAGTCATGTCGTCCGACATCGTTTGGCAAACAATCCGCAACAACTCGGCATTCTTGAAGACGCGACGAAACGTTCCAAAGCGCTTCTCGACTGAACGCTTCAACTTGATGGCCGTCAACTCGCAACGTTACAACGGATTGGTCAACAGGAAAGGAGTGCACATTCAGGTTTTGTTCTAGTTTTGTCACTTATTAAATTTTGCCTCGTTTCAATAAACACTTTGGTTTTTATCGAGTTTGTAAAATTCGACTCAATGCATTGCAGTAAGCGGCCAAGTTGTAGCAAGTTAAAGTTTTATTTTAGTGTAAAACCTCTTACAGAAGTGTGTGAACGTTTAAAAAACACGTTCAAAGCCCAAAATTTAATCTAGGATGTGCCATTGGAGCTTGTAAATGGCAAAACGATTTGAAACATAGAGTGTGCCAGTAGAGCTAGCTGTTACGATTTAGAACATTGCCTGCAAATTAAGTGGATTGTTTAATTAGTAGACCCATTTGTCATACGGATATCAGTTATTTAACATTAAAAATTTATTTACATTTAGCGCAAACATTATAATTTTTTTTAGCTTTCAAAGGATGGAAAGAAGGTTGACGTCTTGACGAAAATCGCAAAGAACGAGCACCTTCCACAAAAATCGACGCGGACTGTGAGCATTTTGAGCAAGAATTGCCGAAGAGCAAGAAACGGAGTCGCCAGCCTGGTCAAGACTTACAAGAAGCGCGATATCATGGTAAAATCATCAATTTATCACGTTGCCAATGGTTTCTGTTTAGCCTGCTCAACGTTTCATCTCGCAGTTGCTTCGAGGAACTCCAAAAGCGAAAAAGTAAAGATTCTTAACTTGTCGATAAACATTTTGTTAGCACGATTTTGTTATTTTGTTGGAATAAATGTTTCGTATAGAGAATTATCAAAACTACAAATTCGAAAGGATTCCCTCTTTATCGGGGTGATGAAAATGAAAATTTATTGATCTAAAGGTGAATGTGAACATAATGAAGCTATTCAATCATAAAGCGAGTTACTGTTACCATGAGTGCGAGAGAATCTAGTTTGGAGCGAAATTTGTCTATATATTCGCATATCCTAAATAAACTGGTAATTTCAAGTGAGATAAAGAAATTATTGGAATGTCTCTAAAGAACCACAACTTTTGTTTAAAAATTAATTCAATAGTCATTAGTCGGCAAAGTAAGTTAAAAGAAAACGAAATTTAGAACCGTATAAATCCGGAGCAAGATTGAATTACGAAAATAATTCTCAATCGATTTCATCATACAGGCAGTGGAAATTAAGAATTAAGAACGATCGTATTTTGTGTAAAGAAAGCCATTACAAAAATCAAAGCTGATATGTGTACTTGTCGTAGAGTTCAGTTAGATTAGGTAATTCACTTTAACAGCGCCAATAGCAAGGAGATAAAGAGAAGGAGAAAACTGGTTTTAGAGGTGATCGATGAAGCGGTGACGGCTTGAGGGCCTGTTCGTCTGGATCGACACTCGACTCCATTCAGTGGTACTGCAATTTGTGGATAGAGGATCTTTTTCGTCGCCTTGCTTATACAGGTTAATTTTTAAGATTTTTCGCAATTTTAAGAGCTGAACGAGTTTTCGGCGCCGAATCGAGAACGAACGAATAAGAAGTTTTTTTGAAAGCAGAATTTTTTCAAACCTTGCCCAACGATTGCTCTCGCTTCGGCCAACAAACGACAATGCGATCCGTGAAGATCTTCGCGTATTCGGTGCACACCGTGAACGATTTCTTCGGACAAAACGAGCGAGCGTTTCTCGACTCGATTGTACTTTGGCCAATAGTAGGCGGGCATTCTGCAAATTTGGGGAAATTGCTTTTGGAAAAAATGAGTACGAAGAATGCGAGGGAATCACGGGGGCAAAGAAAAGGACGGGTTTATTTAGGAAACATCAAGATTGCGCCACGAAACGCTGAAAATTCGGCAGCGCAATTTTTGCGGCGTAATTACAATAATGATTTTGATCATTATTGTAAGTAGCTTTTTTTTGTAATTCTATTATATTCTAATATTCTAATATTATTATTATTTAGCTTTTCCCCAAACGAACCCTGTATTCGAGAAATCGATCCACATCTGCATGACGGTTTCCGAGAATTTTTGCTCAATCTGAAAATCGAGGTTTATTTTTTTGTTTTGAGTATCGTACTGTTGTACTATCGTACTATCGTACTATCGTACTATCGTACTGTCGTACTGTCGTACTGTCTTACTGTCGTACTGTCTTACTGTCGTACTGTCGTACTGTCGTACTGTCGTACTGTTGTACTACCGTAATGTCTTACTGTCGGACTGTCGGACTATCGTACTGTCGGACTATCGTACTATCGTACTATCGTACTGTCGTACTATCGTACTATCGTACTATCGTACTATCGTACTATCGCACTGTCGTACTGTCTTACTGTCTTACTGTCGGACTATCGGACTGTCGGACTGTCGTACTGTCGTACTGTTGTACTATCGTACTATCGTACTGTCGTACTATCGCACTGTCGTACTATCGTACTGTACCTATTTTAGTCGAGAATAGTACAATAAGTACGGCTAATAGTCTATAGGACTATAGTGTCTCTAAAGTACTGAAAAAGTGCTCCATTTAGTGTATTTTATGTTCAAATTTTTGCAAATGCATCTTTCTAGTGCACTGAGATTCACTTTTCTTTTGATTTTCGTTAGATTTTCTTTAGATTTCAAGAGGAAAATGAAGAATTCAATGCGCTAGAAAGGGGATGTTTACAAATGGAAAAAATACAAAGTTTTCTTTTCTATTTCTTTCTTTCTTTCTTTCTTTCATTCTTTCGTTCTTTCTTTCTTTTGATCATTTTGTTTTTTTTGATTTCCTCTGAAATCATCCGATTTGTCTCGTGATAGTGTTTGTTTATGTTTTATTTTGCGGCTCAATTTCGAGATTCGAGAATATTCTAAAGCCAGGAAATCCTGGGCTATATCCTGGGATAATATCCTGGCCTCTTTAACCCTGACATGACCTAAAAAATAGCATTCAAAAGAATTCTGGTAAACACAAATCTCTGCTGCACTTGGCTAACTCTGTTTTATTAAGTTTTTCTCTTTCTTCTTGCCCTTTCTTCCTGCTCTTTCTTCCTTCCTCTTTCTTCCTTTCCCTTTCTTCTTGCCCTTTCTTCCTGCCCTTTCTTCCTTCCTCTTTCTTCCTTTCCCTTTCTTCCTGCCCTTTCTTCCTTCCTCTTTCTTCCTTTCCCTTTCTTCCTGCCCTTTCTTCCTTCCTCTTTCTTCCTTTCCCTTTCTTCCTGCCCTTTCTTCCTTCCTCTTTCTTCCTTTCCCTTTCTTACTGCTCTTTCTTCCATCCTCTTTCTTCCTTTCCCTTTCTTCCTTCCTCTTTCTTTCTTTCTTTTGATTATTTTGTTTTTTTGATCTCCTCTGAAATCATCCGATTTGTCTCATGATAGTGTTTGTTTATGTTTTATTTTTTTCGAAAAAGTGGCTCAATTTCGAGATTCGAGAAATATAAACTGTTGCTCAAAGCTTTTGCGAACAAAGTTAAACGTGAAATTTTGCTGAATTCTACTGAATTCTGTTGAATTCTGGAATTCTGCTAAATACGATTCTGCTAAAGATGTCTATGAGATTTCTTCTTCTTCTATTGCTCTTTTCAATGATCGCTGAAGCGGCCTGGTGGAATTGTGAGGGTTTTTGATGTTGAGAAGAGAAAGGGGTTTTGATGTTCAGAAGACTTTAAATCGGTTTCCTTAGCATTTATCGTAATCCTAAAGCTAACTGTAGGCTTGAAATGTTAGATATTTTAGAATTAGAATTAGAATTAGAAGTAGAGGTAGAATTAGAATTAGAACCAGAACTAGAACTAGAGCTAGAACTAGAACTAGAACTAGAACTAGAACTAGAATTAGAACCAGAACTAGAACCAGAACTAGAATTAGAACTAGAATTAGAACTAGAATTAGAACCAGAACTAGAACTAGAGCTAGAACTAGAACTAGAACTAGAATTAGAACTAGAACTAGAACTAGAACCAGAACTAGAATTACAATTACAATTAGAATTCCAAATCCAAATCCAATTACAATTACAATTAAAATTAGAACTAGAACTAGAATTACAGTTCCAAATCCAACTCCATTTCCAATTCCAATTCCAAATCCAATTCCTAGTTTGCCCTGAGAACGAGCGCTGGATGTACTGCAAGACGGGGTGCGAGCGGAAATGTGGAGATGATTTGAGTGAAGTTGGTGGAAAAACAACTTGCACTTTATTGAATAATAAAATTAAATCTAATAAAATAACGTACTGTTAGAGACTTGTAAACTCCATTTAACTTTCAATTGAGCTCTCCATTGAGGTCTCCATTGAGCTCTCCATTGAGCTCTCCATTGAGCTCTCCATTGAGCTCTCCATTGAGCTCTCCATTGAGCTCTCCATTGAGCTCTCCATTGAGCTCTCCATTGAGCTCTCCATTCAACTCCATTCAACTCCATTCACCTCCATTCAACTCCAACAAGTTTTTACCTCGCCGGGACTCGAACCCGTGTACTTTCGCTTACAAGCAGCTTCCAGCAACCGTGCTAAGCATTACACTACAACGTACTTCATCTCCTTTACTCTAGAGGGAGTTAAGTTAGGTTAAGTGTTAGTTAAGTGTTAGTTAAGTGCTCGAGTGCTCGAGACTTATCAAACTTGTACGGCTTTTTTGATGGAAAATCTTACAAGTGATGGTTAAACCGGTGAAGATAGTTTACGCAAACCCGGTGAAGATGGTTGTGGTGTAGTGGTAATAGGTTAGGCTACAAAGCTTTGAATCCGATTCTACACCTAGGTTCTGCCTAGGTTCTGCCCTGATTTCAACTGACAAGGCAACTGACACTGATCTGTCTTTGTGAGCACTTTCTGGGTTGAATGGAGAGTTGAATGGAGAGTTGAAGGGAGAGTTGAATGGAGAGCTCAATGGAGAGCTCAATGGAGAGTTGAATGGAGAGCTCAATGGAGAGCTCAATGGAGAGCTCAATGGAAAGCTTTACAAGCCTCTAACAGTACAAACATTCAGAAATGCATCCATTCCATTGATTGCCTCGAGAAAAACCTCTGCGAGTGTCAACTCGGCTTTGTGCGATTGGAGAATCGATGTGTGCGCCCGGATGAATGCCCCGAATGAGAAATCACCCCCGTTTCTTCTTTCAACTTTTGTATATTTTGTAAATAAAGAGTTATCGGCTAAAGGCTACAGACGTTGAACAAATTTGAACGCTTTAAGAGTACTGTAGGGATATAGGGTACCGTAGACGTCTATTGTACCCGACAAGCTGCCAATGACTCTACCTGTAGCCGATCGTGTGCATAGAGGATCGGTTTGCGCAACGGTTGCCCGAAAACGTACTCAATCTCGTAGCCGTGCATTACGCCCATCCAACGGGGCCACGGATTGGCGGACGATCTGAATTGAGGTTTTGATTCAAGTGCTTCAAATGTATTTGGTTTTATTGAGCTGAGACACTCCAAGAAGACAAGAACCAAGAGTCAAGTCAAGCCAAATCCAGCTAGAGTCAGCTAGAGTCAGCCAAAGCAAGGCCAAAGCCAGCTAGAGTCAGCCAAAGCCAGCTAGAGCCAGCTAGAGTCAGCCAAAGCCAAGCCAAAGCCAGCCAAAGCCAAGCCAAAGCCAGCCAAAGCCAGCTAGAGTCAGCCAAAGCCAGCTAGAGCCATCTAGAGTCAGCCAAAGCCAAGCCAAAGCCAGCCAAAGCCAGCTAGAGCCAGCTAGAGTCAGCCAAAGCCAAGCCAAAGCCAGCCAAAGCCAAGCCAAAGCCAGCCAAAGCCAGCTATAGCCAGTCAAAGCCAGCTAGAGTCAGCCAAGCCAGCCAAGCCAAGCAAAAGCCAGCAAAAGCCAGCCTAAAGCCAGCTAAGCCAAGCGAAAGCCAGCTAGAGCCAGCCAAGCTAAGCCAAAGTCAGCCAAAGCCAGCGAAAGCCAACCAAAGCCAGCTAGAGCCAGCCAAAGCCAGCCAAAGCCAGCTAGAACCAGCCAAGCCAGCCAAGGCCACATCTCTGAGTCCACTCTTGTCTTTTACAGTAATATCTTTTGAGACTGAATAGACTGAATTTATAAAGACTGAATATCTTTTGTGTCAATGGCTTTCTTGTCAATGGCTGGCTAGTCAGCTTGTCGTCTGCCTTTATAACAGCATGCGATAGAAATTTTACACTAATCTACAGTAATCCGGAAACTCTGACCTCATTGTGAAATAGTACATGTAAACGGGTCCATAAATGTGATCGGCTAGCACATCGGCGAACTCGACGACTCCACACGTGAAGAAATAGTCGCCGAGGAAACGGGCGACTCCGTCACGGAGACGTTCCCTAAAATTGCTTCATGACAAGAGTTCATAACAAGAGACAAGAGTCGTAGCTAATTCAATTCTGACTTTTGACTCTTTTTCCCGAGAAAATTCTCGATTAGTAATGCTGGGAAATTCTGAAGAAATTGCGCGCTTTGAGATTCCGCGCTTGGAGATTCCGCGCTTTGAGATTCCGCGCTTGGAGATTCCGCGCTTGGAGATTCCGCGCTTTGAGATTCCGCGCTTTGAGATTCCGCGCTTGGAGATTCCGCGCTTGGAGATTGCGCGCTTTGAGATTCCGCGCTTGGAGATTCCGCGCTTGGAGATTCCGCGCTTGGAGATTCCGCGCTTTGAGATTCCGCGCTTTGAGATTCCGCGCTTTGAGATTCCGCGCTTGGAGATTCCGCGCTTGGAGATTCCGCGCTTTGAGATTCCGCGCTTGGAGATTCCGCGCTTGGAGATTCCGCGCTTTGAGATTCCGCGCTTTGAGATTCCGCGCTTGGAGATTCCGCGCTTGGAGATTGCGCGCTTTGAGATTCCGCGCTTGGAGATTCCGCGCTTGGAGATTTCGCGCTTGGAGATTCCGCGCTTTGAGATTCCGCGCTTTGAGTTTGCGCGCTTTGAGATTGCGCGCTTTGAAATTAAGCGCTTTCTGCAAAATCAAGAGGTTTTACCATAGTTTAAAGCGCAAATCTATGATTTCCTTTGGGTAAAAGTCGCAATAGAATTCTGTAGCAATAAAGAGACTTTTTGAAGTATTTAATAAAATCCTCAAAATCGTACAATTCACAGGTTAAAAAACTGTGATTTATGACGGATTTAAAGCCATTTAAAGCAATTTAGAGCTATTTAGAGCTATTTAGAGCTATTTAGAGCTATTTAAAGCTATTTAGAGCTATTTAAAGCTATTTAGAGCTATTTAGAGCTATTTAGAGCTATTTAGAGCTATTTAGATCTATTTAAAGCTATTTAGAGCTATTTAAAGCTATTTAGAGCTATTTAGAGCTATTTAGAGCTATTTAGAGCTATTTAGAGCTATTTAGATCTATTTAAAGCTATTTAGAGCTATTTAAAGCTATTTAGAGCTATTTAGAGCTATTTAGAGCTATTTAGAGCTATTTAGAGCTATTTAGAGCTATTTAGAGCTATTTAAAGCTATTTAGAGCTATTTAAAGCTATTTAGAGCTATTTAAAGCCATTAAAATCCATTAAAATCCATTTAAAGTCCTCAAGTCTTCAAGCTTTTCTCTGGATTCAATCTAATCTTTATCTTAATTCAACGAACATTTCATTGTCACTCTGCGAAACATCATTGTAGGCGTGCATGAGCGAGTGCTGCACGAGAGCTGAGTTCCCGAAATATGGCAAAAAGGCGTCGATCGAGTTCTTGTATTGCACTCTGAATGATTTAAGTCTCTTACTGGGGATTTTTGCTAACCTATCATCACTTTTGACTCGGGAAATCCCCTATCTGATGCAGTTTTTCACGCTGATTCCGAATCTGCAATCAGTTTTTGCCAAACGCTTCTCTATCGCGAGATATTTGGCATACAAGTTTTCGGGATATCTTTATAAGGGCGACGCACTGTCTTCAGTCAGCCTCAGCGGTGTAGTAGCCACGTCTACCGAGCGTATGCCCTTTTGAATCCCAAGGGTTCGAGTCCTCTGTCTATATAACGCAACCCACATAAAGAGATCTCAAAAACTTGTATGCCAAATATCTGACGATAGAGAAGTGTTTGGCAAAAACTGATTGCAGATTCGGAATCAGCGTGAAAAACTGCATCAGATAGGGGGATTTCCCAAGTCAAAAGTGATGATAAGTCAACAAAATTCTCTAGTTAGCGGCCTTCTTGTGTCTTAACGGCCTTCTTGCGGGTCAGCCGTCTTGCAGCCGTGGCCGAGTGGTTCAGCGCTCGTTTCTAGAGCGAGAACTCACAAGTTCGATCCCCACATGGAACTTTGCTTTTTTCTAGTGCTATTTCTTGTTGGAGAAAACATCTTCAAAAATAAATTTCGGGTGTTGTGGGATCGAACTCGTGAGGTCTCGCTCTCGGAACGAGGGCTTTACCACTCGGCCACAACTACATTGAGACTAGGCTGCCAGGAGGCCGTTAAGAGATCGCAAGGAGGTCGCAAGGAGACCACAAGGAGATTGTTAAAACTTAAATAATCAAATTTTCAACAAAACTTTAGACTCTTTCTTGACAGATTGTCATTTAGTAAAAAACGGAATATAGATTTGGAATCAGCAGAAAATTCTGCGTTTAATGGGATAGATTGTAGAGGATATAGCTGGCTCTGTCAGTTGACCTCCTTAAAGAATTTACAGAATAAAATCAGAAGCCAGAAGGCTTTACAAGCTGAAGTAGAGCCCGGCTTACAGGCTGGAGTAGAGCCCGGCTTACAGGCTGGAGTAGAGCCCGGCTTACAGGCTGGAGTAGAGCCCGGCTTACAGGCTGGAGAGTAGAGCCCGGCTTACAGGCTGGAGAGTAGAGCCCGGCTTACAGGCTGGAGAGTAGAGCCCGGCTTACAGGCTGAAGTAGAGCCCGGCTTACAGGCTGGAGTAGAGCCCGGCTTACAGGCTGGAGAGTAGAGCCCGGCTTACAAGCTGAAGTAGAGCCCAATCTCTATCGCTTTACGCTCCAAAAATGTAAACAAATCAATTCTAGTGCGCAAAATAGTATCGAATAAACTAAGAAATGTAATAATTATGAAATTTTATAAGTTTTTTTCACTTTCCCTTGAACAAACCTATCAATTCTTGCTTTATTTTGCGGATCCTCGGCTGAGATTGTGTGATTGTAAGCGAAACCGTATTTACGCTCGAATCTAAAAGTAGGAGAGAAAATTTTGAACAAAATTTGAACAAAACTTGAACAAAATTCAATGAAAATCAAGTTTCTAATGAATCTATTGAGCTTTTATTGAGATGAAAAAAAATTGGAGATCTTTAGATCTTTAAGAGCTTTAGGAGCTCTAGATCCTTAGGAGCTCTAGATCCTTAGGAGCTCTAGATCCTTAGCTCTTTAGATCCTTAGCTCTTTAGATCCTTAGCTCTTTAGATCCTTAGCTCTTTAGATCCTTAGCTCTTTAGCTAAAGAAGTTTCAAGCTTTCCATTTCATCTTTCAATCTCAAAGAAAGATAAAATTCAAGTGATGGAATGGAAGTCTGATTTAAGGCTGAATTCTGCTTTAAGGCTGAATTCTGATGAAATTCTATTATTCTGATGAAATTCTGATATTCGAATGCATTAAATCTATAGAAGTAATGCTATTTGAAAGAAATTTTTATGATTTATATGATCTTTAACTAGATTTAGAAGCGACTTACAAAAAATACGGTAGCCAATACGTTCCCTCGTCTGCCACAGTGCCCATCAAGACCGACACGTCTTTTTTAAAGTCCCGACGCCGCAACCGTTCCCAGAGATTTCCCTATGCAGATTCTGATGTAATTTGTCGGCTAGAATTTGCTAGCCTACGGAAATTATGATGTTCTTTTGGATTTTGCCTTTCTTTCGAATCCCCAATTCAATTCTATCAATTCAATCAATTCTATCAATTCAATCAATTCTCCCAATTCTATCAATTCTATCAATTCAATCAATTCAATCAATTCAATCAATTCTATCAATTCTATCAATTCAATCAATTCTATCAATTCTACCAAAATGTAGCCAAGATTAAGGGCTTTAATGTACTTAAAAAGCTAGACTGGTAAAAGCAATAGATCAATAGCAATAAATCCTTTTAAGACCTTGAAAAAATTAGGCTCATCATCGACTGGTGAAAAAGCAAAAGTCATTGGCAAATTGATGTCATTTGTGATTTGATCAGCGGCTTCCTGAAATGAGAAATTCATTTATTTCATTTATTTCATTTATTTCAATTTACTTCATTGCTTAATTGAATCTTTAAAGTTTAGTGATAGATTTTTGATGAATCGAAACCTTTTAAAGACTTCACTCACTTGTAAAAGCTTTGGCGACGTGTTGCGCAAACATTTCGCCACAACTTTCTTGTCAATCTAGATTAAATCGATCTAGGATTTCATTTAATTTGGTTTTTGATTTGCTTAAATGAATATTTTGGGGTCTCTGACCGACTACAGTACGACTACAGGCCGAAAAAGTCAGCTACAGTTATAGTAATAGTTATAGTAAAGTTATAGTAATCGATTTGTTAGTGTAACGACTGTAAACTGGTAGCTGAGTTTGAGTACTGAAAATGAACTGAAAGAGCCAGCGAAATCCTATACAATCTATCCCATTAAACGCAGAATTTTCTGCTGATTCCAAATCTATATTCCGTTTTTTACTAAATGACAATCTGTCAAGAGTTTAAAGAGTCTAAAGTTTTGTTGAAAGTTTGATTATTTAAGTTTTAAAAATCTTCTTGTGGTCTCCTTGCGGCTTCCTTGCGGTCTCTTAACGGCTTCCTGGCAGCCCTGCTTCAATGCAGTCGTGGCCGAGTGGTACAGCGCTCGTTTCCAGATCGAGGCCTCACGGGCTCGATCCCGGGCTCGGTCTTTTTGCGTTTTACAAGAACTGTTCTTTATGCGTGTTTCCATTTGGCCATTCCATTTGGCATACCACTTTCCAATAAGGCTAGCGATAGCTTCTAGTTCCAGTTCTAGTCAATCAAATATGCTAATATGGCTCAGCTACTATGGCTGAGCTAATATGGCTTAGCTAATATGGCTCAGCTAATATGGCTCAGCTAATATGGCTGAGCTAATATGGCTTAGCTAATATGGCTGAGCTAATATGGTTCAGCTAATATGGTTCAGCTAATATGGCTACCTGTGTGGATCCAGTGCAATTAACCAATCGTGCTAATTGAAGAGACGTCTCCAATAAAGTTTCCTTGCTTCGCGTTGCCCATGAGTTTGTGATAGCTCCACTCTGAAAGAATTCATAATTTCTAGTATTCTTTATGCTCTTTCTGTAAACACCATCTTTCTAAAGCACTTGATTCTTTCTGTGCGCTGGAAAGGGTGCGTTTAAGCAACGTTTAAGCAGCGTTTCAGCAGCGTTTAAGCAGCGTTTAAGCAGCGACTCCAAAGAGCATCTAGTTGTGAAGGATTCGTTTTCAAATTCGAGCACAAAAGTAGATGTTTGCCTTAGAAAACCGACCTTGGCAATGATTTTCGAGAAATATCGATGCGATTGTGGAGCAATGAGATGAGCTGTCACAGAGGCAGCGCCAGCACTTTCACCGAAAAGCGTCACCCGGGTGGCATCACCGCCAAAAGAGCCGATATTTTGATGGATCCATCTAGAAATTTTCTATCTCTTCATAGGTTTGTGAACGCTCATCATCAAATCAAAGAGCTCTTGACGAGCTCTTTGATGCTTTTTGGCTGCTTTTGCGGCTGATTTTGTGGCTGTTCTTTGTGGCTGCTTTTTGCGGCTGATTTGCGGCTGCTTTTTGCGGCTGCTTGCCGTTTTTTTTTGTTCAAACCGTAGCGCCAAAGAGTCAGTGTTTATCACTTCAAAAAGTCTTGCATTTCATTGATCTCAGAATGACGAGCTGATTTTGATCCACCATTAGAAACCGGGAACCGATTATAGGTCAATGAGATCGACTTGGTCGACTGGAGAGTCGACTGGACTTGACAGCGCTCGTTCTGCTCTTGTGTGATAATTGGCTTCATGCAAATTTGCTTGATGACAATTTGCTTGGTGACAATTTGCTTGATGACAACGATTTCGGTTTACGCCTGAGCCGTGCTTTAAACCGAAATTGCTGTAGCCAAGTTACCCGAGTCGATGTTTGAGTTTTTAAAGTGTATAATCGATTTCTAAACATCTAAATAGCTAAATAGCTAAATATCTAGATATCTAGATGTCTAAAGATCTAGATATCTAGGTATCTAAAGATCTAGATATCTAGATGTCTAAAGATCTAGATATCTAAAGATCTAGATATCTAAAGATCTAGATATCTAAAGATCTAGATATCTAAAGATCTAGATATCTAAAGATCTAGATATCTAGATATCTAGATATTAGATATCTAAAGATCTAGATATCTAGATATCTAAAGATCTAGATATCTAGATATCTAAAGATCTAGATATCTAGATGTCTAAAGATCTAGATATCTAAAGATCTAGATATCTAGGTATCTAGGTATCTAAAGAACTAGATATCTAGATATCTAAATAGCTAAGTATCTAAATAGCTAAATCTCTAAATATCTAAAGATCTAAATAATTAAACATCTAAACATCTAAATCACTAAATATCTAAAGAGCTAAAGAGCTAAATATCCAAAGAGCTAAATATCTAGATATCTAGGTATCTAAAGATCTAAATATCTAAATATCTAGATATACCTATGCAGCAATCTAAAATAATCCAAATACCGTACTCTAAAGCGATTTGCTGATCGAGAAGTCCCATATTGCCGGGGATCTCCGAGTCACCGCCCAAGTAGAGAAAACCGAAGGGACCGAGTCTAAAAATTCGATAATTATAACTTTAAAAGAATAGATACTGTAGCTCTCGAGATACTGTAGCTATCAAGATACTGTAGCTATCGAGATACTGTAGCTCTCGAGATACAGTAGCTCTCGAGATACAGTAGCTATCGAGATACAGTAGCTCTCGAGATACTGTAGCTATCGAGATACTGTAGCTATCGAGATACTGTAGCTCTCGAGATACAGTAGCTATCGAGATACTGTAGCTATCAAGGTACTGTAGCTCTCGAGATACTGTAGATAGTAGCATAGGTAGTAGCACCAAATCCTCTAGCTATCAAATAAGCCTTTAAAACTCACCGATAATTGATGTTGACGACAATTTTGTTGTACTTAGCGGCGAGCACCGATCCGTCGTAAAGGTCAAGGCTGGGGGAGCCTGGAAGGTGAGAATTGGGTATAAATATAGCATTAGATTAAAGTATTAGCGAAATAACTAGGCAATAGATAGCTACCGTACACTGTAATAGCACCCGGGCCCCCATAATGACCGTGCGGAGTATTGCGTAGTCTAGCTTTGAACGCGTTTTTCTCGACACTGGTTTATGCTACAGTGCGCGTTTAGGTATCAAAAAATAGCTGAAATTCAGGGCTATTTTTTGATACAAAAGACGCATTTTTTTGAAAGTACCGACGCTTTGAAAAAAAATGGAATACTATACGCGACGCGACTACGAGACTGTACGAGAGCGGTGGGGTACTATTACAGTACGGTAAGCAATGCTAAGCAATAGCTAAGCAATAGCTAAGCAATGAATAGCTAAGCAATAATATCTAGGCAATAAATATCTAAACATACCCGAGAAAAACCCTCCCCCATAAATCCACACCAACACCGATCCATCGTGCTTCGGCGGCACCCAGACATTCAAGCTGAGACAATCCTCCGACAGGGGACTCTGGAAAGGAAATCTAGTCCTTCAATCCCTAATGATCTAAATCCCAATATCTAGAGACTCCTTTTTCGCGATGTTTACAAGAATAACAGCATTCTACTGTCAAAACTAGAGTGTGTTCCTTGCAGATAACGCGTTTTCTAAAAAGCGCGCGCCAAGGATAAGCTACCGTAACCCTATGCTTTGCGTCAGCAAATTTTTCAAAATGCAAATGTACATAAAAATCTTGCGCTCTTTTTTTCTATTACTCTTTCCTTAACTCTATTCCTTAACTCTTAACTTCGCTAAAACTTAAAAATTTTAAAATGCTATTTAAAATTAAAGAAAACATTTAAAACGGGAAAAGTTAATAAGCACTATTAAAAAATTATATTGGGTTGATGCATAATTATCCGGACTTCTTTTTGCGTGCTTGTATCTTTTTTGTTTTGAAAGCTTTTTGTCTATTTCTTTTTTTTAAATATTCGTTATTCTTTAGTGAACAAAATGCGTGTCGACAATCATATCCATCTTCGCCATATCATGCTCTACCACTTCGAAAAGGGATGCTCTGCCGCAGAGTCGTTTCGCGATCTCAAAGAACTTTTTGGTCAAGGAACAATTGGACGTGCAACAGTTTATGAATGGTTCGATCGTTTCAAGTCCGGTAACCCAAGTGTTGATGATGAACCAGGAAGAGGACGGCCATCAGAATTCGATGACAAGGCACTTCTGGAAGCCGTTGAAGAAGACGAAAGCCTGACAACCAGAATGCTGGCAGATGAATTCAATGTTGACCAGTCAACGATCGTGCGCCATCTCAAAAAGCTTGGCAAAGTATGGAAATTGGCTGGATGGGTCCCACACGAACTCTCCGAGAAGAACCAAGCAGATCGCCTTCGAATTTTCACCGATTTGTTGCAACGAAACGAGGAAGCACCGTTTTTGAAGAATCTCGTCACAGGCGATGAATCATGGCTGTTGTTCAAGAACCTCAAGAGAAAGAAAGTCTGCGTGTCGCCAGGTGTTTCACCTAAAGGAATACCGAAAGATGTCCACTGTAAGAAAGCAATGTGGTGTGTATGGTGGGACAGAAGCGGAATCATCCACTGGGAAATCATCTCTAACGGCATCTGTTATTGGTGGAATGACGATGATGAACGTGAGCAATGGCGAATTCCAGACAAAAATGGCAAGAAGCAATTGAACATCAATAGTGACGTCTACTTGGCACAACTTGAACGCTTACATGCTGCAATTCAGGCACGAAGACCGCGCAAAAAGAACAACATCGTCTTTCACCACGATAACGCACGTCCGCACGTTGAGCGCCATGTCGTCGAATCCATCGCTAGTAAGGGCTGGGATCTTCTTCCACACCCGCCATATTCTCCTACTGAAGCCCCAACGGACTACCACGTCAATCGATCGCTCAAAAATTGGCAAACAAATAAGATCTACAACGATTTGGATGACTTGATAGGCGATGTTAAAGCGTGGATTGCCTCCAAAGATCGTTTATTCTTCGCTCGTGGAATCGATCGTCTTCCAAGCAAATGGCAATCAGTTATTGATGTAGGCGGTGAATATGCTCCAGAATAATCAATTAAACATATTTTTCTAACTATTTATGTTATTTTTTGTTAAATAAAATCATTTATAAAAGAAGTCCGGATAATTATGCATCAACCCAATATTATTTACGAATTCACCAGGCCTATTGTCCACATTTGCACTAGAACAATTCCAAAAAAAAATTTCCACGCCCTAAAAAACCTAAATCCTTAAATAAAACTATCCATTACTATATTTTGAGAAAAGTTTGCAAAATTTTTTCGCGCGACCTTTATAGCTTTGCTTAAAAAGCGCACCTTTTAGAAAACGCATTGTCGGAAGTCTTGTCGGATCAATTGTCTGACAAATTGTCTGTCAACAAGGAGCACACTCTAGTCAAAACCGCGACTCAACATCGATTAAATAATCTCGACTCGAAAAAGATGATTCTTTCGATTCTTGGTCGGCTTTTTGAAGTAGAATAGAGACTCTACCTCTTAAATAAAGATAAAGTCTCTATTCCTCTATCGATTTAATCTAGATTGACAAGAAAGTTGTGGCGAAATGGTTGCTTTTGTTTTGACTTGAACTGAACTTGAGGTTCAAAGCGTCCTCATTCCTCGTCCAGGCATTCAATTAATCTCTACTAATTAAGTATAAATCTAAGTCATTATTAAGTCTAACAACTAGTTTACAGTTTACAGATCTAACAGATTACAGTTTAGAGTTTACAGTTTAGAGTTTACAGATTACAGTTTACAGTTTACAACTAGATCACATTTCCTAAGCATTTAGCAAACCGTTGGCGGTGGATTCCACATCTCGGCGCCTGGGAAATCGGGAAACATCTTGTCGACTGTGTAGAAACAAGTCTTCGCCGGGTGCTTGGCCTCGAATTCACCACTCCAAGCCGGAACTTTCTGAAAATTTCTTTTCATTGCAGTTTGTTTTGATATTAGAACAAAGCTTTTACAAGGAACAAAAGGAAAAGGAAGAAAGCAAGGAAGAAAGCAAGAAGGAAAGCAAGGAAGAAAGCAAGGAGGAAAGCAAGGAGGAAAGCAAGGAAGAAAGCAAGGAAGAAAGCAAGGAGGAAAGCAAGGAGGAAAGCAAGGAAGAAAGCAAGGAGGAAAGCAAGGAGGAAAGCAAGGAAGAAAGCAAGGAGGAAAGCAAGGAGGAAAGCAAGGAAGAAAGCAAGGAAGAAAGCAAGGAGGAAAGCAAGGAGGAAAGCAAGGAAGAAAGCAAGGAGGAAAGCAAGGAGGAAAGCAAGGAAGAAAGCAAGGAGGAAAGCAAGGAGGAAAGCAAGGAGGAAAGCAAGGACCAAAACAAGGACAAGGACCAAAGCAAGGACCAAAGCAAGGACCAAAACCAGGACCAAACCAAGGACAAGGAAGAAAGCAAGGAGGAAAAGGACAAGGACCAAAACAAGGACCAAAACAAGGACCAAAACAAGGACCAAAACAAGGACCAAAACAAGGACCAAAACAAGGACCAAAACAAGGACCAAAACAAGGACCAAAACAAGGACCAAAACAAGGACAAGGACAAGGACCAAAACAAGGGCCAAAGCAAGGACCAAAACAAGGACAAGGACCAAAACAAGGACCAAAGCAAGGACCAAAACCAGGACCAAACCAAGGACAAGGACCAAAGCAAGGACCAAAGGAGGGCCATTTACAAGGAACAAAACACTTGCTATCTTTGTACCTCCGGTATCCCAAATCTCCTCGATTCAACTGGAGGTCTTGCATAAGGGATCCCAAGGAAAACGCTCATGTGAACTCCATCGAAATTCTAAAATTTAGACATTTATTTGTTTATTAGTATTATTGTTTATTAGTATTATTGCTTATTAGTATTATTGCTTATTAGTAATTAGGTTGGCAACTTTCAATCTCTTCAATCTTTTCTTTTCGAAATTCTAACATTCTTTTTACGATACTTAAATGAAAGACCAAAAATTTTTGATTCAGCTGCTTTACGATTTTAAACAAGAAAAATCTGTGGCTGAATCGCATCGTACAATTATTTCTGTTTTTGGAGAAAAGCCATAGACAGCCATAGACAGCCATAGACAGCTATAGACAGCCATAGACAGCTATAGACAGCTATAGACAGCCATAGACAGCCATAGACAGCCATAGATAGCCATAGATAGCCATAGACAGCTATAGACAGCTATAGACAGCCATAGATAGCCATAGACAGCTATAGACAGCTATAGACAGCCATAGACAATGCCGTACATGATTTCAACGTTTCCAAAGCAGCAATCAATGCCTCGAGGATGAGTCGCGTGGAGTGAGGAACAGATTTGGTTTAGATTTGATTCAGATTTGATTTAGATTTGGTTTAGATGCCAGCTACGGAATGCCATCAGAACATTTGTACTGTTTTTGGAGAAGCTGCTCTTGCTTACAAACAATTTTGTGTTTGGTACGATCGCTTCAAAACGGGAAACGAGTCATTGGAAGATGCACCACATGGAAAGCCACCGATTACTTTGGACGATCAGCTGTTACTGAACGAGGTCGACTTGTCGAGGTCGAGAAAATTAGCAGAAAAGTTCGGATGCACTCATGTTACCATTGAAAACCATTTACACGTTCCTGGGAGATCATGTCGAAGCGGGCAAATATATCGGAGCTCCCCCACGACCTGACTGATGCCCACAAAGCCATACGTGTCACCCTGAGCTCTTTTCTTCTACGCAAAGCTCACCATCGTGACTTATAAACAATGTTGTGTTTGGTAAGCTTCATCTTCATCTTCATCTTCATCTTCATCTTCATCTTCATCTTCATCTTCATCTTCATCTTCATCTTCATCTTCATCTTCATCTTCATCTTCATCTTCATCTTCATCTTCATCTTCATCTTCATCTTCATCTTCATCTTCATCTTCATCTTCATCTTCATCTTCATCTTCATCTTCATCTTCATCTTCATCTTCATCTTCATCTTCATCTTCATCTTCATCTTCATCTTCATGGAAAGAAGATCATGCTTGTTGTTGGTGGAATGCAAAAAGCTTTGGTGCCCTTCGAAGTGTTAAACCAGTTAAACCAAAACCAGTTGATGTTGATGGACAAACAGTTAATACCGAACTCTATTCAAAACAATTAGTCCGAGTCAACGAGGCTTTGAAGGAATTGGAGTTTTGTGTAATCAACAAGTTAGTATTTTGTGCAATCAACAGATTAGTTTGAACGAAAATTTGGAAAGTTGCCAACCAAAAAATCTAGAAACAGAAACATTTCTTAAAAATTCTGATTATCTAGATCGATTTCTTATTCTAAACAAAAGTACGACGATCGATTTAGCTAATATTAAAGTTTTCTTTTTGCACTTACTTGCTTAAACCCGCGAATATCACCTAAATTTGTTCGCACAAGGCTATCGTCGGAGATCACCGCTCGACCGAGAACCTGGAAATTTTTGAGATTAGCTTCCAAAAACAGATCTAGCTTTAAAAGTCGATTCAATTGATTTAGAGTTTTCATTTGGGCACAACTAGGAGGCAACTAGAATGCAACTAGAATGCAACTAGAATGCGGGGTGGTGCAATGCGAGTGTGCAATTTCTCTGTGAAATTCTCTGGAATTAGATCCCGTGGAGTTAGCTCTGGTTCAATTTCGCTCTCCGGTAGTTTATAGCCTAGTTTATAGCGTAGTTTATAGCGTAGTTTATAACCTAGTTTATAGCGTAGTTTATAGCGTAGTTTATAGCCTAGTTTGTAGCCTAGTTTGTGGTCTAGTTTGTGGTCTAGTTTATAGCCTAGTTTTTAACCTAGTTTATAGCCATAAACTAGTTTAGTTAGTTTAGCTATGGTTTATAGCCAGTTTATGGCTAGTTTATGACCCAAGTGCTTAATGCGAGAAGCCTATCCAGCCTCTTTTCACCTTTCTCTTAAGGCGCGATAAAGTGGCGCGTTAAGGCGCGATAAAGTGGCGTGTTAAGGCGCGATAAAGTGGCGCGGTTAAGGCGCGATAAAGGTGGCGCATTAAGGCCCGATAAAGGTGGCGCGTTAAGGCCCGATAAAGTGGCGCGTTAAGGCGCGATAAAGTGGCGCGATTAAGGATGTAAGTCGGATTCGGATTTATCATAGATATTATCTACAACTATCTACAACTATCTACGACTTAAACTTACTGTATGAAATCGTGTGTGAATGAGAATGAATAGTGGAAGGAGTGGGAGGGCAACTCTCCCACTCCCGCCATTCCACATTTGAAAGAGGAGGGGAAACGAGTGATCGGAGTGATCGACCGATTGGTTAAAGCATCAAAAGATCTCTGGAATATTTAGATATCTTTTTTGGATAAGTTAAAAAGAATTTAGATAAGTTAAAAAGACTTTAGATAAGTTTAAAAGATCAATTCTTGAAATACAATTCTTAAAATTCAATTCGGGAACATCAATTCTTGAAATTCAATTCTTAAAATTCAATTCTTAAAAGAAAACTTTGTCAACGTGGACACTTGTCGACAAATGAGTGGGTAAACAATGGGAAAATGGGGAAAGGAAGACGATTTTTGAAGAGATAAAGAAGAGTACAGTTTAGAGAAAAGTAAGTAACAGAAAAGTAAAGTTTGGTTGGAAAGGGATGTATTGGGTTGGGGAGAATGAGTCGGCGCCAAACTTTAAAGGGACTTTTTGCACACATAAAGCCTTCTTGAAACATACGTTTGGTTTCATCAAAAGGATCCACTATTTCTCTACAAAATGACTTTTGAGAGATTCCACAAAGCTTTTCTTTCGTGGAGTTTATGAACTTCCAAACGCAGCTGGTTAAAATGGCAAAGAGTCCGACTCATCATTTGAACAGTTTCTTTCACATAAACCTTCTTTGGTGTTTATATAAAAAAGATAGAGCACATTCAATTACTTAAGTTGCCAAATTTGCAGGAAGATTCCACCAATGGTTTTTTCTAGATCACAGTTTGTAGTTTTTGTGAAAAAATGGATTTTTCTTGAGCGGAGGCGCTGTTTGAATTTTCTTTTAAATGTGATTTTGTAGAGAATTAGTTAACCATTCTACTCATATCAAACGCATATTATTTGACGAAGTCGAATAGAAGTTTTAGACATTTTTTTGATTTTCGGCGCCGACTCATTCTCCCCAACCCAATAGATAAACTAGTTAGTAGATAGTAGATACTAGATACTAGATACTAGATACTAGATACTAGATACTAGATACTAGATACTAGATAATAGATAAACTCTAGCCCTAGGTAAGTTTATTTAAACCAGCAGAATTTGTGAACTTGCACACGGTATTCGTAAAATGTAAGTCTTGTAGTAAAGTAGTAAAGTCTTGTAGTAAAATTCAATCAATGTTTGAGCACGGAATGCTCTAATCAGTCCTTAGGCTTGTAAATCGTCAAACCAGGGCTCCTGCTAAATCAACTGCTAAATTTAGCAAGTCCAGCTTCTAGGCTTGGCTCCAGGCTTGGCTTAGGCTAGAATTGGCTTTGATTCAAGTAAAGGAGAAGACTTGTAACTTGTAACTTGTAAGAAGTACTAAAAACAACAAAGCAACTAGTAAAGCAGCAAAGCAACTAGTAAAACAACAAAGCAACTAGCAAAATAATAAAGCAACTAGCAAAACAGCAAAGCAACTAGTAAAACAACTAGTAAAAGAACAAAGCAACAATCAAAACAAGAAGCAAAACAACAAAAGCAAGTACTAGAGTTGACTTTAAAAGAAATCTTTGTGCATTTCAAAGAGTTTTCCTATGCTTTGGTTACTGGAGTGGCTCAGTGAGCACATTTACTTCTTCATTTCTGCTCTCTTTCCTCTTTCTCATTTATAATTCGATTACCCGCTTCTTATAGCCATTAGACGGAAAAGGAGGTGTAAATCTAAAGCTTTGGATGAAGGGAAATCGGTGGCCGACGGGGGGAATCATCCACACTTCCGGTCAACCACCTCACCCACCTCACCCACCTCACCCACCTCACCCAATAGCTTCACCCCATCTAAAGGCTAACAAATAATCCACACGTGACTCTAGTGTACTTAAAACAAAATTCGATTGTATTTAGATTGTATTTTGATTGGATTTAGTCTAATAACCTAATTAATAGTATAATGAATAAAGAAGAGAGCCGTTTTGAGCCATTTTGAGCCGCTTTTGAGCCGTTTTGAGCCGCTTTTGAGCCATTTTGAGCCGTTTTGAGCCATTTTGAGCCGTTTTGAGCCATTTTGAGCCGTTTTGAGCCGTTTTGAGCCGCTTTTGAGCCATTTTGAGCCGTTTTGAGCCGCTTTTGAGCCATTTTGAGCCGTTTTTGAGCCATTGGAAAGAGGTTAATTGGAACCAATTTTGGTTCACCTTCAAGTTAAATTTGAGAGTGAAAACACGTGTTTTTCGTAAGAAATCTACGAAATCTACGAAAAGGAAAGAAAAGGAATGAAAAGACTTTCTGAAGAGCTTAATAAATGCTTGATACAAAGATCAAATGTTTAAAATTGAGAGTCCTATCTAAATCCGATCAAAATCCAATCAAAATCAATCAAAATCCATTAAAATCCAATCAAAATCCAATCAAAATCCAATCAAAATATCAAAAAAAGTCATGTTTTCAAAGCTTTTTTGTGTTTAGAGTGTTTAGAGTGTTTAGATTATGTGTAAAATCTATAAAATTGAGCTAAAAGCTTGGGAATAGCATGAAAAGAACGAATAGAAAGCCGAAAAGAGACGATGATCATAAAAATCCCTCCTGGAATCGTTAAAATCTTCACTATTTTGTTTAGGATTGAGAAATGCACAGAAAAATGTACAATTCCTCCAGTAGACTTAGATTAGAAATGTTTTTAGCTAAAAGAAATCTAGATTATCTAAATGTAGAACAGATGGGTTTTTTTGGATCCTCATGGGAAATAAATGCAAAACAGATGGCTTACTGGGGAACCGTTTGAAGTTAGCATCAAATTTACGAGACTTGTGCATTGGATCCAAGCTACGAGACCTAGTGCATCGGATTCTACGCAAAATTCTGAGCAAAACTCATTTTTAAAATCAATCTAATTGGCCATTTAAAGCGTGTAAAAACACGTTTGAAAATTAGCCGCAAAAATTGAAAAATTTGGGCAGCTCGGTGATATAAGCCTTCTCGCGTCTGTTCGCGACTGTGACCTGGTGGTTCAGTGGTTAGTGTACTCGCCTTCCTAACCGATGGTTGTGGGTTCGGATCCTCTTGCGGCCAAAGTTTTCGCTTTTTTTTTGCAAACAAGATTTAGCCAAATGGATTGATATAAGTCTTCCCTTTGTGAGGTCAAAAAGACGACCTGGTGGTCTAGTGGATAGTATGCTCGGCTTCGAAACCGATGGTCGCGGGTTCGGATCCCCTTGAGACCAGAGCTCTCTTTTTAGTGCACTGAATTGCCATTTTCTCACCAAAAATCGCTTAGCAATGGGAAAATGCAAAAATTAGTGCGTTCGAAGGGCTGTGTTTAGACGAAAATACGTCTTTATCTTTCGATTTTGACGGATTACTGTGCTTAGAAGTCACTTTACTTAGGGATTACTGTAACTAGGGATTACTGTAACTAGGGATTACAGTACCCAGGGATTACAGTACCCAGGGATTACTGTACCTAGGGATTACAGTACCCAGGGATTACAGTACCCAGGGATTGTACCCAGGGATTACAGTACCCAGGGATTGTACCTAGGGATTACAGTACCCAGGGATTACAGTACCCAGGGATTACTGTACCCAGGGATTACAGTACCCAGGGATTGTACCTAGGGATTACAGTACCCAGGGATTACAGTACCTAGCGATTACAGTACCTAGGGATTACAGTACCTAGGGATTACTGTACCTAGGGATTACAGTAAAAAGGGATAGCTTTGTTTAAAAAGAGTACTGTAGCTGGAGAATTACCGTATCTAAAAAAACGGCTAAAATGTAAAGTAAACGAGTAAAGCTGAGCTTTGTAAAGCCATTAAAAGATCACCGCACGCTTTCTAGTGCACTGAAATGCTTTTGAAGAGAGAAAATGAAGATTTCTGTGCGCTAGAAAGTTTCGCGTTTGCATAAAGCAAAAGGCAAAAGGCAAAAGGCAAAAGGCAAAATCAAAATCAAAATAAAATGAGTTTTTTGTGAAAAAATCACCTCAAAATCAAGTCAAGCCAATTGAAAAAAAGTGAAAATTTCTCCCAAATTTCTCCCAAAAAACTCAAAAAGTTCAAAAGCAATCAAATTTTTTTTGCGAAAAACCCGAAAAACCCATTTTTGCTTATCTGATTTGCATATAAAGTACCGCAAAAAAAAAAAAAGAATCAAAAATTCAGTCAAAATTGAAAATTGAAAAATTCAGTCAAAAAAATAGAGATTTTTTTCAGAAAAATGTTTAGTAATATGAAATTTTGCTGAATTTTAGCGAATTTTACCGAATTTTAGCGAATTTTACCGAATTTTGAGAGCTTTTTTGACGATTAGAAACTGGTTTTTTTTTTGAGCGGAAAAGAGAGAAAATAAAAAAAAATTGTTTACGAATGATCAAAGTTTATCGAAATAGGATTACTGAAGTTTTTAATGGCTTTACAAAGCTCAGAAATACAAAGCTTTGTTTGTTTGTTTGTTTTTTCCATTCCAATTGACGTCGCCGTCATGTCGAGGTAGTCGATGGGAGCGCCGCGTCGTCGTTTCCTTTTCATTTTCAAATCATTTGTTTTTTTTGGTTTGTTTTTTGTTTGTTTTGTTTTTTGTTTGTTTTTTTATTTGTTTATGTTTTTTGTTTGTTTGTTTGTTTGTTTGTTTGTTTTTTCCATTCCAACGTCGCCGTCATGTCGAGGTAGTCGGGGCCCGCGCCTTCTTTTTTTTTTTTTTTTTTTTTTTTTTTTTTTTTTTTTTTTTTTTTTTTTTTTTTTTTTTTTTTTTTTTTTTTTTGTTTGTTTGTTTGTTTGTTTGTTTTTTCCATTCCAACTGACGTCGCCGCCATTTGAAGGTAGTCGATGGGAGCGCCGCGTCGTCGTTTCCTTTTCATTTTCAAATCATTTGTTTTTTTGGTTTGTTTTTTGTTTGTTTTTTTATTTGTTTATGTTTTTTTGTTTTTTGTTTGTTTTTTTTTATTTGTTTATGTTTTTTTTTTGTTTGTTTGTTTTTTCCATTCCAATTGACGTCGCCGCCATTTGAAGGTAGTCGATGGGAGCGCCGCGTCGTCGTTTCCTTTTCATTTTCAAATCATTTGTTTTTTTTGTTTTCTAGTTTTTGTC